AAAAAAAAAAAAAAAAAAAAAGACATTGTCTCCAGGAGGCCCTTATAAAATATTCATGTAGGATGTGAGGGCGATCTAGCTGCGACATCTGTCACCCATTGACCGCCAGGGTTGATTCAGCTGATCTGGGTGGCTAGGTGGGTGTCCCCTTCCTCTGTCACTGCTCTGTGTGCATCCCTTCCGAAGCTGTGCACTCTGGAAGAGGACAACCATCCCGGATAGAGGAGGGTCAGTCTTTGGTCAAGGCTATATGAGTAGCTGCATTCCCCTGCTAGAACCTCCAAACAAGCTCTCAGGGTCCATAAAATATCCATATATTACCTGGGAGCTATTCATCCATTAACTTAGCCAGTTGTTCCTAACTAAAGTGTCGTGACATGCTGCTGTAGCTTAAGTAATCCGTAGTTACTACAGCTGCTGCTGCTGCAGCCAAGTATCTCAGCTTTGCTGTTCCTATTATCCTTTCCAGCAATCTTAGAAGGGCATTTAATTATGCTGACTTTACTCTGGGGAAACTGGAGAATGGGAAGCTTTCATTTGTCTAAGGTCACTCAGCTAGTAGGTTATGAATCTGAGATTTGAGCTTAGGGCATCCCTTGAATAGCATCTATCTCATTCTCTCACAATCTGAGTTTCTCTCTTTTCCAGAATATACTGTCTTACACTGGAGAGAAAGTAGTAGAATTACAGCTGAGGATTGTGACTTGGTCACAGTCTGTCTCCCTTCCTAGGAGACGAAGGGTGTTGAAGTGAGGGTCATCACTCCTGAAGCCCCAGTGGACAGAGACAGACAGGAGTCCTGGGGAAGCTGGGGAGCGAATGCCCAGGAGCTGACTGCTCAGGGTAGAGCATCAGAGGGTCAGATGAATAGCTTTCCTCATCACATGGAGGCTGGGCCAGAGGGCAGAAATAGAAATTCTAGCCGGGAAGACAGACCTGTGAGACCATTAATGCAATCCAGAAAAGTGAGGATGGCCAGGCGAGGTGGCTCACACCTGTAATCCCAGCATTTTGGGAGGCTGAGGCAGGTGGATCACCAGAGGTCAGGGGTTTGAGACCAGCCTGGCCAACATGGTGAAACCCTGTCTCTACTAAAAATACAATAAGATTAGCTGGGCATGGTGGCTTACCCCTGTAATCCCAGCTACTCAGGAGGCTGAGGCATGAGAATCACTTGAACCCAGGAGGTGGAGGTTTCAGTGAGCCAAGATCACACCACTGCACTCCAGTCTGGGCAACAGTGAGACTCTCTCTCAAAAAAAAGACAAAATCCAGAAAGGTGAGGAAGACCGAGCAAAGGCAGGTTGAGGGAAACCTGGGATGGACAGAAGCTGTGTGGGAGGACTGAGGGATCACGGGGTTTTGGTGGGAGCAGGAGTGGGCAAGTCCGAGTTGTGGACCTTGCCCCACTGCAGGGAGGAAGAGCACCTCTTCCCAGAGCTCTGTGTAACTCCACCGGAGGCAAACAGGGAGTGGGAGCCAGGGACAGCAAGAGAGCCTGAGGAGCACCAGGAGGAGGGGTGAGACCGGGCAAAGACTAAGTTCTGGGGCAAGCATTTTATTTGTTAATACAAGAATAGAAATTCTGCAATAAATATCATCTAATAAATAACATCTCCAAATAAATAAATATTAATACAACACACTTAGAGTCATGAGTGGGTGGGGCTGGGGGCAAGGCCTGGGGGAGCTGCCACCCCACACCCCAAAATGCTACTGCAATGTAAACTTTCAGGAAATCCTGTGGTGTGGCTATGGTTACCCTCCCCAGCCTGGGCAGCCCACAGATATCCTGGGAAAGGGGGCAGAGAGGAGGCACTATCGTGCTGGAAGACAACTCGGGGCAAGGTCCTGACGCTCAGCTCAGCTTTTGTTTGCCACTCTGTGCTTTGGAGACTCCTGGGTCTGGTCTGGTCTGCCCCTGCCCCTCTGCTTTCAGTATTATCTCTTCTGGTTTATAGGGCACCTCCAATGCAGACCCCAGCCCTGCATTGTTAATCTCATCTCTTTTTGTGTAAATTACCACCATGTTTGTTTCCTGAATTGGATGTATAGAGTGATTTGGGGGTAAGGGAGCAACACCCATCCAAGGACAGTGGGGCAGCCAAAGGGCTTCACCCCAGAAAGGCATGTGTGGTGGTGGCCCCTCAACCCCGGCCCCCGTGAGGGGCTGGGTGGGCACTGGCCAAGTGGTGGGCAAGAAGCAGGAGGCCATGAGAGCCTTTGCACCAACTTGAGCAACTTCAGACTCCCTTGAGCATGACTTCCTGTAGAAACGGGACAGGACAGGGTCTACGGCACCTCCTCCCCAGCTCAGTAGACCTTTGGGAGGTGGGGAGGAGACACAGCTGATGGCATCACACCCCCAGCTGGTCCAGGAGAGGGACAGAGGCTCACAGCATCTGTCTCCTGGCTCAACAGGTGTTGGCATACAGGGCTGGCTCTCCCATAGTGGGAGCAGGGTTTGAAGGGGGAGCGAAGAGGAGGTGGCAAAGGTCAGAAGTCAGAAGCCGTGAGCCCCCAGGTGCACGGTGACTGCAGCTGCTGGAGGCTGCATCTTCTTCTTGAGCCGGTTGAAGTCCTTGGCTGAGCGCCACAGCCAGGTCTGCAGCTCCTTCAGCAGCCAGAAGTCGTCCATCTTCTGGAGGAAGTCACTGTGGGCAGGGCCAGGAGTCCAAGTGGGTTCAGTCCCAGGCAGAGGCTGGGGCAGCGGGTAGCCCAGAGCTGCCATGACGCCCGCAATGCTACCCAGCAGGCCCTGGAGGCTGGTGCAGAAGTGGGCCAGGCTGCGGCGCAGCTCAGCAGTGGCGGCCTGACGGTTGAGGCCACGCAAGTAACAAAGAAGGTGGCTGTAGGCCTCATAGTTCTGGGTCAGCCGAAGTTTGTCATTGAGGCTTCGCCACACCTCCAAGTCAACAGTGGCCCTGGGCAGAGTCTCTGCCCCCAGGCGGGGAGGGTTGAAGTCAGGCTCGTTGAAAGGGGGGCCCAGGTAGTTCAGCTGTGAAAAGGAGAGCGTGATGGGGAAGGAGGGCAGAGAAGCCGTGTCACCACCAAGGAGATAGCGGCTCTCAAAGTTTCTATTTTTTTGTGTCCCCTGTCAGTGGCCCTGTCTCCATGCTAGGCTTCTCTGTTCATGGGTCTCCCTGAGTTTCTCCAACAAGGACATCATTTGTTTGGAGGTGACAGTTGAAGCAGTGGTGGTGATGAGCTCTCCTATGGAGAGGTGTTGAAAGAGGAGGAGGAGGAGACGCTCAGGAAAGACGTGCTGATGGGCTGGGTGGGCAAACCTTGGGAGAGTGCCCACTGCGGGGGCAGGACAGAGAGGAAGAGGAGCCTGGAGGAGCCAGGGCGCGAGGCTGGAGAGTGTAGAGGCCGAGGTGGAGGAGCTGGAGAAGGCAGCAGTGCTCAGCAGTGTGGCTGCAGAACAGAGAGCAAGGAGAGTGAGCCCTCAGCACTGTCGGGCTTGGCAAGGAGGTGCCTGGCGACCTTGGAGAGAACGGCTTCTGGGCCTGGAAGCCAGATTGCAGGGGGTTAAGAACTGAGTGGGTGGAGAGGAAGTGGAGGCAGAGGGTGTAGACCACTCCTTCGAGAAATTTGGCAGGGAAAGCCAGGAGAGAAAAAAGGTCGGGAATTGGAGGGGGCAGTGGAGTGAAGCAAAGGTTTTCTGCACAAGGAACAAGTGAGAGATGAGAGGGGCCCGTTGGCAACAGAGCCCCATTTGCCTCTGACACACCTGGGCACACCAGCTGAGGGGCTGGGGAGAGACGGGTACTCAATAACACCCCGAAGGAAGGGTTCAGCTGATAGAAGCAGGGCTGCAGAAGGAAGGAACGGAGGCAATCTCATGAGTAGGACAGGAGGCAGGCTATGGAAGACAGCATGGTGTAGGGAAGAGGGCAGAGCCGTTGCCAACCCTCAGGGGAGCGGCTGGGGCCCAGGGAAAGGGGTGAAGGAGATGTGTAACTGGGAGAGAAAGGGAGAAGCAAGGGGAGAGGCCTGGGATAGGCAAGGGCCCAGGGGGAGGTTCACACGCTGACAAGCACAGAGACAAACTAATTTCCTCGGTGTATCCTGGGGCTGGAGCCAGCTCCCCCGCCACCCTCCTCCCTTTTCCTTCCCTGGCTCCAGAGTAGGGTCTGGGATGTGGAAGAGGAACACGGGAAGAGGGGGCCGGTTCCCCATGGTCCTCGGCTCCTCTGACCCTCCTTCCTTCTCTCCTGGGCTCTCTGAACACCTCTGGACCACCCCCAAATCCTTACAGCATAACCTCCATCCACATCCTAAACCCCCTGCCACTACTGCCTGGGTTCCCTGCAGCCTCCTTCCCCCAGGACCCCCCTAGGAGGCTCAGCTAGGATGGGAGAGGCAGAAGGAAGGAAGGCCCCTGGGTCCAGAGCAGCAGGGCCCCAGGTCTGGGGGCAGAGGCGAGCTGGAACGCAGGCATGGGAGGTGGGGCCCCTCCGTCCCCACCCAACCCCGCCCTCGCAAGAGACACCACAACACGGTGTAAACAGAGGAGACTTCCCCGGCCCCCAGGGGGAGGCGGGTGGCTGGGCTGGCAGCCAGTGGGGCAATGGGCCAAGGCGGGTGCGAGGCCTGCCCACATGCCTAGTCCCGGGGCCAGGGATGGGGAGGTGGGGGGGCCACCTAAGAGGGAAGGGCAGAAGATAGGCAAGACAGGGGGACCGGTGAGAGCCAAAGAGCCCCTCCTCACCCCATCATTTACCAGGACCATCCACCGTTAGGATTCCCCTCCCCCAACTCCTCACTGCTCCCCAACTCCCAGACTCCTATCCTATGCTGGATACTCACATAGGTCCCAGCCAAGCTTCGGAGTTGGTGCTCCAGGTAGCGGGTGAGGTCATAGGTTTTCTGGATGGAGGGACCAGGCCCTAGGTCTCCTGTGCGATTGAGAGCTGGCACTGCAGGGAGGTGCCAGAGCACCGTGCACAGGCACGCTAACATCCCCCACGAGTCCCCTGTGGGCAGGATGGACGGGAAGCATGAGTTCGGCCTGGGACCATGCAGGGAAGCAGCTGGCAGCCCCTCAGGTGTCTGTCCCCTCCTTGGGCTGGGATTGGGGTGAGGGTGGGACACCAGATGGGAGGCAGAGGGGATGGAGGAGGGGAAACACTCCTGGCGAGAGGGGAGAGAGAGAGAGCAGGCATGTGTGTGGTTGAGGATGAAGACTTGGCACGCATGAGTGTCTATCAGTAGAGAGTATATCTGTGTGTCAGCTGAGAGAGTCTTTGGCATGCGTGTCACTGTGTGTGTGCCAACATGTATGTGTGTGTACATGGAGGGACGGGGCCAGGCCTATGGACTGGTCGACCTGCCTGTGTTCTAGTTGTGCCCTACTTCTGCCAATCTCCCAGTCCCTCTGCAGCTTGAGGGGAGTCAAAGAGTGGGAGACAGCACAGTCAGAGCTGGCAGGCTGAGCACAGTCAGCCCTGAGGGAGGAGGCAGGAGAGAGGCGGCCGCCAAGAACAGTCGGCCATAAGAGGCAAGGTACAGAGTTAGACCACCAGAGTCAGGCTGCCTCATGGAGCTAGTTTTGGGTATATGCTGGGCATATTCCTGAGTGTGGAAAGTTTAGGGTGGGGTTAGATTAAAGGAGGTTTAGTGTTCGCTCTCAGGGGATGGTGGCAGTGTGGAGGGCCACCCCATTCTTGGTGTTAGGTGGGGAAAAGTTGGACTTCAGTGAGGCCTTTCCATCAGTCTGCGAGGGTGGGAACAGGAGAGAGGTGCATTTGATGAGCTGGGCTTCTTGGCTGATGGCACTGCAAGGTTTGGACATCCCAGGATACCAGGAGTCCAGAGGCCAGGGTTAGCTGCTGTAAGGAGGGACATGGGCAGTTGGGAAATATGCTTTTCTGGGATTTTAGGTGAAGACCAAGGTGAGGACTCAGTGGATACTTTGGACTGGCAAAGGCAGTTCGGGTTTGGCTAGGGTAGATATAATCGGCATTGGCCTAGCTTAGGTTTAAGGACTGGGTTACTTTAAAAGTTTCCAATTAGTTTAGACTTGGGATTTGGTTGATTTAGTGCGGTTGAGGTTTGAGTCCAGCAGGGGAAGTGGTGAGGTCTGGGCAGGCAGAGGGTGAGCTGGAGGTCTGTGACTTGGTCAGTTTCGATGTCAGACAGGGCACTGCTTGTCATGTCATGAAGAGCAGGGCTGGTTTGGGTTTTCAGCTTGAATAGGTGTGAGGTCATGAGTGGTTTCCTTTCTATAGTTCTTTTTTTTTCCTTTTTCTTTTTTTCGCTACCACCTTCCCACCACCCCTATAGTTCATATTTTACACTGTCAGATTTTTGTATAGCAACATAGGTTGCTTTGATAGCTAGAAATAAATTAGATAGGTATAGCACTTTGCCCATGGTTAGGATGGGGTTTGGACTGAAGAATGAAGACAAGGTTAGGTTTAATCACAGTGCTGAGTCAGAGTTTTAGAGAGGGGGGCTATAAACTAGGAAGACTGCAAGATCCCTTTTGTCTAAAACGTCGCTTATGGAGGCCAGGGGTCAGTGGGGTCTTCTGCAGTGGCCCACCTGGTCAGTCCAAACTCTTTCGGCTGTGTGACTGGCTGGCTTTACTGAGGGAGCATAGAGGTGGGGTACCACCAGTCACAGGGTCTTGATTTGAGGGGAGTGTGTGTACACCTGTGTGTTTTAGGACAGAGAGTAGAGTCAGGCCCTCAACTGCTCCCTGGGGAGACTGGCTTCCTCTTTCCTTCCCCTCTGAGTCTGTGGCTTCCTCCTGGACGCTGCTTTCCTCACTCTTCCTTACCATCCCCAGCTCTTGCTTGACTCAGTTCCTTTCTCTTCCTTGTTCCTCACATCCCAACACAACCCCAAGCCTGGGGATCTGGCAGTCACTCTAGGATCCTGTGAGTACAGGGTAGGATTTGTTTTGGAGACTGGAGACCTGCTACACTGGGCAGAGGCCCTCCCAGCCTTGAGGTCACTTTCAGAATCGAGTCTGACCTCACTCAGAGTTAGCGGCAAGGCTCAGGGTCCCAGCTGAAGCAGGAGCTGGGAGCTGGGCTTCCCCCTTTACCCACGTGCCGGCCAGAGTTCTAGGCTCTGCCTATGTCACGGCCATGAGGTGTGCTCAGGAACCCAGCTTGGGACTTATTGCCTCTCCCATTCTGAGCCCTGTGGGACATCCCTAGGGGAGCTCAGCTCCCTACACAGAAACAGCAGGGGGAGAAGCCTTTGGATAGACAAGAACTAAGTCATCTCGGCAGAAAAAACAGCTCATGAAATTAACCAGACGAGGCCGGTGTTTCCAGGAATATTTCAGTTCTGAGGTAACTGTCGCTGCAGGCTGGGGGTGGGGGGCAGGGGAGAACAGAAGGCTCCGACGACCCACAGAGGGAACCAGAAAAAGGGAAGGGCTCTCAGGAATCCAGAGGGAGAAAAGGTTAGGAGAGGAGAAAGGGGGGTAGGAGGACAGACTCTGCCCCTGCTATGACAGCTTCCACTCTGGGCAAGCCCATGTCTAGCAGCAGAAGGGAAAGCGGCCTGGGGTGAACACCTGCGGTTAGTCGTGAGCCCAGGAACCCAGCACAGCTTGCCTGCCTCCGAGGAGAGTGCGTGGTGGGCTTCCTGGAGCCTTCATCCATCCTCCCTCAGGGTCATGGTGTGCAGGTGGACCCCGGCCATCGGGGCTGTGTCCCGGGTCCCCCTCTCTCCTTCCCCAGCAGTCCTGGCCCCCAGCCCAGCCCCCGCCCCAGCTCTGCCTCTGGCTGCTGCCCACTGATTGTTTACATCCCGTCTTCTGTCTTCTCCGTGTGTTTATAAATCCGGCTGAGCACGTGAGGAGCTAATGAGTGCAGCTCACATTTCCTGCAGCAGCCCCCCCCTCCTATCCTGGCCCCCACTCCCGGCCAGCCCCTAATTCCATCCAGATCCCTGGGCCCTGGGAACCAAGGCCCTCCTCATGAACACACACACACACACACACACATACACACTCTCTCTCTCTCTCTCTCTCTCTCTCTCTCTCTCTGTCTTTGCCCAAGCAAGCGCCTGGCTACCCAGACACAGCTGCATAGGCAGGCGCACCTGTATGCACATGTCTTTAGCCATTTGCCCCTCAGTCAGTGGGCTAGACCCCCCCAAGCTGACCTTTCCCAGTGAGGGTTCAGCTGTGCAGATGTGCCAGGGTGTGGTTAGGGTGGTAGGGCCAGTCAACAGGAGTCTCTGGACCTTTGACTGTAAGAGCTGGGCTAAGAGCTGTAAGCCCTAAATGTTGCAGCCAGGGAGGCACTGCGGAGCTCCGGAGGTGTGGCATGGTGGCCGCAGGCTGGCTGAATCAGGAGCCAGAGGAAAGCCCAGACCAGGACCAGAAACAGTACTGGCTGCCACTGGAGAGGTCTGTTGAGGGGAACTGAGGGATGGCGTGGGTGAGGGATGGAGTGGGTGAGGTCCAGACATTGACTGTAGGAAGCTGCCCTAGAGCATCTCCTGACCTGCCTTCCCAGGGAAAGGCCCACAGAAACCCATCCTCCTTCCACCCTCTGGGCTGCTGCCTCCCCCTCTCTTTCTTCTCTCCCTTCTGACTTTTCCTTGGTTCCCTTTCCCCCAGGCTGCTGAGAAGTGGCTTGGTGAGTGGGGACACATGGGCCTGGGAATTGGGAGACCTAGCTTGGCCACCAACCCCTCTGGTGACTGTAGGCTTGCACAAGGAGGTCACACTTGCATGCTCAATTCCTCCCAGCTGAAACACGCGGGGCTTCATCTCTGCTATCCTCTCAGCATCCCCATCCCTGCCCTTCTCTTCCAGCCTAAATTACAGAAGAAGACACTGAGGCCCAGGGGAAGAAGCTGAGGGTGGGCCAGCCCCCCTGCCTTGTGAAGTCAGTAACCAAGCAAGCCAGACAAGAGTTGGGCTTTGGCTGGAGGGAGAGGGTTCCTGATTGTGCCGCAAGAGGGCCCTGGGTGTGCTCAGGGAGGCCAGGACGGGTGGGGATCCCTGCAGCCCACTGAGAGCCAGAAGCAGGGGGAGCAGTGAAGGAGGAGTCCAGGGCAGTGGTGGGTGAGTTGGAGGGGTAGGTTGAATAAGAGGGTGAGGGAGGGGCTGGGAGAGAGTGCAGGAGCCAGGTGTGCACCAGAGGCGGGCCATGGGGAGGAATGTGAAGTGTCAGTGAGCCAGGAGCTGGTGTGCAGGGGTGTCGTGCAGAAGTGTGATGGACGGGAATGTGGGTCTGTGAATGAAGGGGACAGGGAGCCATCACACCTATCAGGAGTGTCACTTCTGGGGCTGCCTGGTGACAACTGCTTCTTCCCCTGGTGAAGTGTGTGGCTCCAGGTCAGGGAGGGTGTCTGAACTGGCCGGGAGCTCATCTGGTCTGTTAGGGGAATGGAATACGTCCCATCGGGTGAGATGGGCAGCATGTGCTCCCGAGCAGTGGCAAAGGTCAGTCGGGGGCAGTGAAAGCACAGAGGCGTCCCTAGGTCAAGGTCAGAGAAGGAGGACCTGGCAGAGCATCGTGCCCGGTGCCCCCGACCCCCAGTCTTTCTCCAGGGCTTTGCCTGCACCGGCTCATCTCTCTCCCCTTCCCCATCCCCAGTCTCCTGGCAGCCCCTCCCACCCCGGGAGGAGGACCAGGCTGGGACCTGGGGGAACAGGGGGTCCTCTGGGATTGGGGGGGCGGTCTGTAGGGAGGGCTCCAGGAGTCCTGCATGGAGTTGTGGAAAGGAAAGCAGGTGGGGAGAGCAGGCACGAGGGGACTCTGGCGAGCCCCGGGGACTCCTTCGAAGGTTTCCTTCGAGCGGCTCGGGAAGCTGCACGGCGGCGACCAGCTGGCCCTCCCTCCCGGCGGTGACCTCTCGCTCCGGGACCCCTCCCGGCGCTGTGCCTTCCCCCTGTGTGGCCCAGGCGCCCCCGGCCCCGCCCCCTCCCGCTCCCGCCTGGTCGCTCCTTCCCGGCGGCGGGGGCGGGGGCGGGGTCCGGGGCACCGGGCTCTGGGCTCTGCCCGGCGCTGCCCTTTCCCGCGTCAACTTCCCTCCCGCCCGGGCCGAGCGGCTGCTCCCACCGCTCCCTGGCCGGTGACGGACTTTTTCCTGCGGGTCCAGCCCGGCTGTGCCCACCCCCCCCAACAATAATCACTCCCAGGCCACGGTGGCCCAGGGAGCTCGCGGCCGTCGCCCACTGCCCCTACCTGCCGCCGGCTCGGCCGTGGGCACCATGGAGGGTTCCGGCCGCGCGGCACCCAGCGAGGAAGCCGCGAGTCCCGCGGCGTGGCCCGGCCCGCCCGGCCCGTCCGGCCCGGCCCAGCCAGGCTCGGCGCTGCCCTCCGCCCTCCTCTCCTCCCTCCCGCCCGCCCTTCCTCCCGCCCGCCCTCCTACCCCTCCCGGCGGGCGGGGGAGGGAGAGCGGCGCGGCCCGAGGTGTCGGCCTCCCCTCGCCTCCCGCCGCCCGGCCTCGGGCTCCCCCGGCCTCCCTCCCTCTTCCTCTCCCAGCCCCCTCCTCCCACCCGCAGCCTCGCTCCCCAGCTCGGACTCGCTGGCCCTGACTTTTGCGCGGGGCTCTGGGCTGCGGCTCCCGGGACCCGCCTCGCTGGGGCTCCAGGTTGCCGCCTCCCCAGGTCTGCGAGCGTTCCGGCTCCCCGCCGCTGCCGGCCACCTCCTGGCCCCGCCGTGCGGACTCCAGGAATGCCGCGTCCCCGCCTGGCCCCTCTCAAGGGCGCCCAGCCGTGCCTCCCCCGGCCCGAGCCCAGCTCCCCGGCCCGGCCCCGGCGCGGGGCTCCTGAGGGTCGGGGCAGGACGGGAACCGGATCTCGTGGCTGCTCGGCGGGGCGGGGGCCGGGACCTCGGCCGCCTGGCTCCTACCTGCTCGGAGGTCCATGGGGCTGGGGCCGGGCCGGCCGGGTGCGGCTCCTCTCCCGGAGGCTGGCGGAGTGGGAGGGCGAGCCGCGGCTCCGGCGAAGCTTTAATAATCCCATCCGCCAGGCCCACTCGCAGGTTTTTTTCGCTCGGTTTCTGATTTTTTTTTCGGTGTGGGACATTCTGCAAACTTTTTTTTTTTTCTGACGTGTAAAGCTGTAACCACAAATTGTAGCGGCCCTCCCCGGGGTGGGGGTAGGAGGGGGGAGGAGGGAAGGGAGGGCTTCTGGGGCTCCCTCTCCCTCCCACAGCACCGAGGGGGGGTGAGGTGAGGCGAGGCTGTGGCGGTACCACCCTGGGCCTCCTCGGGGAGGGGCCGGGGAGGGCATCAGTCCGTCTGAGGACTCCCGGGAGCCTGGGGATAGCGCTGGCTTCGGGTGGGCTTCTCCCCCAGCGTCGTCGGCCTGGGGACGCCGCCTCCTGCCCCCTGCCCCCTGCCCGGTGCAGGGGTCCCTGGTCCCACCCTACCTCTGCTTCCTCATCTCCAATCTTCCCTCCTCCTCCCCCTTGAGTAAATGCAATGACACATTCTCGCAAATGCCAGCGAGCTGGCCTGGGAGCAAGTGATGGTGTTTTTCCTGCTGCCCTTTGTCTGGGCTGACCGCCCCCCTTGCCTATTGTCCCGCCGCCTGTCCCATTTCCAAAAGCTAGAGCTAAGCGAGGCGCTGGGGCTGGGGCAGGTGACTAACCAGCTCACAATGCCCCCTGCGGGGGAGGAAGAGGGCACCGCAGGCCCACTGCCCGGGCCAGAGGCGAGA